TGGTGGTAAAATTTTAAAAAAAAAAAAAAAAAAAAAAGGAATCCAGCCAAAACAATGCAAAAATGCTTTTGTACACAGTCCTCTGTGCATATGAGAGGAATAACAGCATCTTAGAAAACTAAACACTCTGAACAACACAACAGACCTTCATATTCAAGGACGCTTCTGCTTGCCAGGGTACCTTGGGTTTGGTGGAGGCTGGGGACAGTGTTGGGGGATGCTCGTTGATTGCCGTGGTTACCAAAATGGGGAAGAGAGGGGAGGGAGCTTCAGTGAGTGGGGCATTGCCGTGATTGGGCGGGGAGGTGTAAAAACTATCCTCAAATGCATTCATATCCTGCAACAAGGAGCCTAATTCTGGTTCAGGGTCATAGAGATCCCCTAGGAGAAAAAGAGAGAGAAACTATGGTCGGTCTTTAATAAAATTAGCATTCATAGTTTAGACTTGGCAAACATCTCATATGGCTACTTATAGACACAGAAACAAACCCAATGTTACTCTACTCCATAGGCCTATTGAACATCTCAGGCTTTATTGTTAAATATATTTAATTGTATACAGTGCACTATATACACTACTGATCAAAAGTTTAGAATATTATGATTAAGTCTCTTATGCTTGCCAATTAAGGCTGCATTTATTTGATCAAAACAGTAAAAACTGTGAAATATTATTCAAATTTTAAATAACGTATCTCTTACATATATTTTGAAATGTGTAATTTTTTCATTTATTCCTGTAGTAAAGCTGAATTTTCAGCATCATTACTCCAGTCTTCAGTGTCACATGACCCTTCAGAAATCATTCTAATATGCTGATTTGCCACTCAAGAAACATTTCTGATTATTATCAACGTTGAAAACAGTTGTGCTGCTTTTTGTGAAAGCTGTGATACACTACCATTCAAACATTCAGTATGTTGGTTTAGTATAAGAACCATTATTAATAATAACTGAGCGCCAAATCAGGAAATTAGACAGTACTGGACCAAGCAGTGTATTGTAGTACATATTGTACATAATCCTTGTTCTTTGAATGTGGTTTGAAGCTGGATGTGTGCTTAGCTGAATAAATGTGAAATTACTTGGGAAAAAAATGATATATCTACCTGCCAGTGAGCAGGGAAAGTTTAGATGTCACTGCAAATATAAATGAATAAACTTCACCCCAAAAATAACAATTCTGTCATCATTTACTTCCTTGTGTTGTTCCAAACTAGAGTTTCTTTCTTCTGTGGAACACAAATGAGACATTTAGAAGAATCTCTGCTCTTTAAATAGTCATAGAATATTGTGAAAAGGTGCTGCTAAGCTTCAAAAAGCATCATGAATGTAGTTTTAGGTGCTATATTACCACTTACGTATGTAATTGCATGTTGTGTGTCATTCCTGTGGATAACAACTTTTTAGCCTTTCTCTCATACAGCTTCAGCTGACTTTAAATGTAGTACACAAGCATTGACTAACTTGACAGTCATTGGTTACTATAAGCTTTCAATGTATGGAAAAAAAGCAGAGATTGAAAAATAGGTCGGCACAAGTATTTGAACAAATTTGTAAATTTCAATATGGCTTAGCGTGATTATTAAATGAAAGGCTGCAAATTTAGTCTGATGCAGTGCATTTTTCAGAGTGAAGCATGGCACTGTGTTCATTTACATTTTCATAATTGCCAAGATTTAAAAAAATATACATTTTAGCATTTTATCAGATTACTAACGAGAAGTGTTTATAAACCTGTTGTCAACTAAACAGACTTAAAAGACTACCTGCAGTTTTTCGCCAAAAGTTTAGCTTTTGAAACAGAAAATTTTTCCATTTTTAGTAATTAGCAATTTTTTGTCTTAGTAGGTTGTTGTAAAACAGGGGTGTCAAACTCAATTCCGGGAGGGCTTTGAAGCTGGATGTGTGCTTAGCTGAATAAATGTGAAATTACTTGGGAAAAAAATGATATATCTACCTGCCAGTGAGCAGGGAAAGTTTAGATGTCACTGCAAATATAAATGAATAAACTTCACCCCAAAAATAACAATTCTGTCATCATTTACTTCCTTGTGTTGTTCCAAACTAGAGTTTCTTTCTTCTGTGGAACACAAATGAGACATTTAGAAGAATCTCTGCTCTTTAAATAGTCATAGAATATTGTGAAAAGGTGCTGCTAAGCTTCAAAAAGCATCATGAATGTAGTTTTAGGTGCTATATTACCACTTACGTATGTAATTGCATGTTGTGTGTCATTCCTGTGGATAACAACTTTTTAGCCTTTCTCTCATACAGCTTCAGCTGACTTTAAATGTAGTACACAAGCATTGACTAACTTGACAGTCATTGGTTACTATAAGCTTTCAATGTATGGAAAAAAAGCAGAGATTGAAAAATAGGTCGGCACAAGTATTTGAACAAATTTGTAAATTTCAATATGGCTTAGCGTGATTATTAAATGAAAGGCTGCAAATTTAGTCTGATGCAGTGCATTTTTCAGAGTGAAGCATGGCACTGTGTTCATTTACATTTTCATAATTGCCAAGATTTAAAAAAATATACATTTTAGCATTTTATCAGATTACTAACGAGAAGTGTTTATAAACCTGTTGTCAACTAAACAGACTTAAAAGACTACCTGCAGTTTTTCGCCAAAAGTTTAGCTTTTGAAACAGAAAATTTTTCCATTTTTAGTAATTAGCAATTTTTTGTCTTAGTAGGTTGTTGTAAAACAGGGGTGTCAAACTCAATTCCTGGAGGGCCGGAGCCCTGCAGAGTTTTGTTCCAACCCTGCGCCAACACACATACCATGTAGTTTTCAAATAAGCCTGAACGACTTGATTAGTTGGATCAGTTGTGTTTAATTAGAGTTGAATCTAAACTCTGCAGGGCTCCGGCTCTCCAGGAATTGAGTTTGACACCCCTGTTGTAAAGACTGAACCCTTAAAAAGCAACTATTGCCATTGGCACCAGTGTGATTCCTTTGTCCTTTTTGCATAGATGTTTCAGCAAACAGAAATATGGGGGATGATTTCTTATGAAATAAAATGCTTACCATATTGCAAATTGCAATGACTCGTATTAACTAAGTAAAAAATTCAGCAAATCTCAATTACCTTTAGCTCGACCTTTGTCTCTTTTGCCTCCCTGCTTTCTGTGATCAGCCTGATGCCCGTGACCATGTCTCCTGCCTTTACGATTGAACTCTCCCTCCGGTGGATGATTTCCCCGCCGCATATGAGCAGTACCCCTCACCTCCTCATGAACCTCCGTCCTCATACTGTCCCCAGGCCCCATCTCCAGCCTTACAGGGCTCAGACCCTCCAGACTTGTCCCATCCTCCTCCGGTCGATCCAGTGGCCTTTGCGAGTGAAGCCCAACACTATCCCTGTCTTTACGTGGCCAGTGTCTCCGTCGTTGGCTACCGCCCAGAAGTCCCATATCTTGGTCTTGCTTGGAGTCAGAGGAGGAAGACCGGGTCAGACTCTTTTTGGAATTTTCAGATGGGATCTCAGAGCTGTACGATGTGTGGGACAGTGTGATGAGGAGCACAGCCAAGAGACGACAAAAGCCGGGAGCCGTCATCTTCAAACACAGTGCCACCTGTTGTTTAGGGCAAGATCAGGTCAGACTTTAACACTTTTGCACTTTGAATACATGTAAATGTACACACCTTTATTATTATTTTGAGAAATGCTTATTAAATATACTGTATATAAATATATATATTTTGTTTTTTTTACATATGTCATAAATAATTAATTCCTAAATATTTACAACATGACATTTTAGGTCACTTTATTTTAAGGTCCAATTCTCACTATTAACTAACTATTAACTATGACTTTTGGCTCAATAAACTCCTAATTACTGCTTATTAAGAAATAATAAGGTAGTTGTTACGTGATGTAGAACATGCCCATGCAGAATATATGCTTTATAAATACTACTAAGCAGCCAATATGCTAGTAATATGCATGCTAAGCAACTAGTAGTGAATAATAGTGAGAATGGTAACACTTCAGCATAGGAACCAATTCTCACTATTAACCAGTTTCTTATTAGCATGCCTATTATTAACATGTCGGCTGTTTATTAGAATTTACAAAGCACATATTCTGCATGACCATATTCTACATCCCTAATCCTACCAAATAGCTAAACTTAACTACCTTACTAACTTTTAATAAGTAGCAAATTATGAGTTAATTACAATCATAGTTAATGGTTTGTTAATAGCGAGAATTGGACCTTAAAATAAAGTGTGACCACATTTTACAACAGGAACTAAGGTTAGTGTGGTTGTTAATTATTTGATATTATAAGAGACTTATAGAGCTTGGTACACAGCCATGAGGGGCTGATGGGTTCCTCTATGATATAATTTCCTTTTTTTCTGTTGGTTTAACTATTTCTTTCACCACATTCATTTGGTAACATTATGAATACTTACATTTCATTAATATTTCAAATATTAAGAATGTCCCCCCCCCTTACTATTATTATTTCAAAAATTAAAAACATGCTCATCATTTGTGTATGTATGAATTACAGTTTTAATATATATTAATATGTTGACCATCATTGACACACTGGCAGATTTCTAACATACAGTTGGCATCTCACTGTATCCAAGAATCCAGCCATAAACGTTTGGATGTTATAGCCAATATGCCCTGATAATAATGTTTATTATAACTTATCTTAGTTAGCTAAGCTTAAATTAATCAAAACTGAAAAATTCAGACAAACGTTCAAGGACTTTTAATGAAACTTTAGAATTTTAAACCAGGACATCACAAACCAGAGCATCACGTTAAACCCAGAAATATACTTTCATATTTAAATAATGGTTTTGCTTTGCTTTGACATGAAATAAACAAGAGCTCAAAGGCAACCTAAATGTGTTGAGAAAACTTGCCAGACTAAATATCAGGTTTGGATTCCCACAGGCCAAGAATAAGAGGATCCAAAGGAAGAATCTTTCCTCAGGTGGTATATCAAAGTTAAGCTTATGAGGAGGTTCTCACCATGCATCTCACCATGCAAATCAGTGACATGGGTCTTACTTTGATCATCCGAGGTCTGCTCTCATCCTCAGATGCTCCCCTCAGTCAATCTGGCCCCTTTACTCTGTCTTTTGTCCCCGAGAGCCGCTCACATTACTTCAAACGGCAGACATCCATCCTTGCATTTAAGACTGGCACCAGTGTTACTGATACAAACATGCTAAATTTACATATAAGATGTCTTTAGATTTCTGATGATTTGTCATGTTTATAATGATGGAGCAAGGCTATTCTTGATGGCTTCAAGTCATTGTATTTACAAGAATGTCCGCAGTAATTACTTGTGGGCTGCATTTATATGCATTTTGTATATTGTAGATGAGGTATTGCAATGAAACCAGAAAATCATAATTTAGCCAGTTTATGAGGTTTCAGGCTTGTGTGACCAAACCACATTTCCACTAGTGATAACCATGCTCGTGGTGTGTTCACACCATCAAAGAGTAGATCAAGGTGCAAGAAATGCCAGTGTCATGGGTTTGATTCCCAGGGAATGCATGAACTGATAAAATGTATACCTGTGAATGTTATCGGCAAGTGAGAAAAAGAGCAAGAAATATAAAACTGCCCAACTGGCATTTTATTCCAAAATGCGCTAAAAGGTAGTAAGACTGTTTAGGCCAGTTCATGCATCAAATGTAAAATTGAAAAGATATCTACTAGAGATGTACCTGAAGCTCTTTTTCAACAGGCACAGAAAATAACTTCAAAACGAATAATCCACATCCAGTTTTATCTTATATCTATTGTTTACATTTCACAAATGGAATCTCTTTTACATTTTTAACATTATGTTTCATTCTGGTGCATGGCTGTCTTCTGAATTGCAGAGCTCTGCCAAAAGATCTCTTCCGATCATGTCAGATTGAGGCTATGTGGCTGTTTTATGGACCAAACATTTTGTCACAGCTTGTTTAATTGCTGTTACAGCAACATTTTACTTTTCCACTCAGACAGTAAAATTATTATTATTATTTGTATTAATAGTATATAGTACCTCAGTCGTCAGATTGCTTAATCTCAACATTTTAAATATGACTGGACTGGATATGTGAGTGTGCATCATGGTAATCGTATTTCACAAAAGTACTATTTCTTTATATGCAAAATTTACTCAATAGGAAATGAATGAGTACACCTATAATTCATTTGGGCTGGATGAATAAATGATCGTCCTGATTCCGTACAGTACATCCACAATTCTTATTGCCGCCTTTAATATGCAAGTAAAACTATCAGAGGAGAACATTACTCTTCATTGCCTTTGCAACTGGAGAGCACATTAAGATGGCAAAACTTAAATTGCAGCTCCATCTCTCACCATTATTGCCTTATAATTGGTATCTCAGTGCTGTGATTTAGGTAATGAATCAAGCTCAATGAAATAAAGCAGAATTTAATGAGAAGGGTTTGGTACAACTGGGCGGTAATGAGGAGCGTTTGATATGCCATGGTTTATATTATCCATCTTTCACTTTCGCAATCAGATTCAAAAATGTCTTGCATGCACACAAAGCAAGGTTTAGGACAACTTTCTACCACCAATCTTTGCTACGTACTCTCATCCAGAGATATGGCAGTGTACATACAGGTTTTAGGATTGTGTTAGTGCTACCATTAGCATTAGTATCAATTAGTGCTTGTATTGAGTTATTGCCCACGCTTTTATGGGCTTAGGGGTGTGTGCTTACATTGTGTTCGTGTCAGCATTAGCGTATTTAGGTCTCTCTAAGACTTTCTTTAATGTGGGCGGGGGTAGTTCATCAACCTGGCAACCCGCTCAGGCAGCCATTCTGCTCTGTAAAGACAGAGGCGTATGATAAATCAATGGGGATGGGGTATTGAGCTCTTGTGGGTCGATAGTTGGACCAGCCTTATCAGCCACAGTCACACAAATGCACCTCACACCCTACAGAAATCGTTGTGTAGGGTTGCTAGCTAGGGGACTTTATTGTGGGCTATTTAAGAACCCATCCACAAAGACTAAGTGAAGGAAATTGCATATGAGGCTGGGTAGCAAAACTCCTGCTAGAGGAAATTTGTATCAAGATTGCAGGCGCTTCATTTGGGAATACACACTGACTGCTTTGGGCTTTATCAGTGCTTTTCACAACCGGAGAGGGTTTAGAACAACCGCTGAGCTTTAGTCTCCACACAATTGCTGGTCTCTATTCAGTATGAGCACTCCCCCGTAGACTTTGTTAGTATGACAAGTGTGTTCGTTAGTAGTTCATTAGTCTCTCATCCACCACACAAAAAACAACAGTAAAGATACCAAAAAAAAAAAAAAAAAACAGCGTAAAAAACAAACAAACAAACAAACAAACCAAAATGTCTGGAAGCTTCTAAGATTTCTGAAAAGTCTTTATAAATGAAGGCTCTGGGTGATTTGAGTTCATGCTGATCCCATACAAAAACTGCCTACTGTCATGTGACTAAGAGGTGGAGCTTTGAGGGAGCTGAATGATGGGATGAAATGAAGTCTTGAGATGTGGGAGCCGTGCACACTGCTGGGCTTGGTACCCTGCTGGGCTCACCCACAAAGACCACACACCATTTAAATAGGAGTCATGGATAACATACACAACATCTGGCATGACATGGCATATGCAGGGCTCAGGCTTAAGGTGAGATGCAGACCGTGGGATGACAAAAGGGGTTGGGGAACCTTATGTATCCAATGCACGATTTATAAAGATGCTGGGCTGTGCAAAATCAATAATACAGCCACTGGCTAAAATGTTGCCTTTTTGTTCTATATACAATGGCTGTTTCTCAAAATGTAATTTTGAAAAATGGCCTTTATCAAACAAGAGAGTAAATATACATTTTTTGATAAATCTGCAACACTAATTTTTACTTTGACAGTAAGAAATAGTTCAGTATTAATAATTACTGCTGATTTTCACCTTTTCAGGAGAATGTTTTACCCAGAAAATGTGAGTATCACTGTGTTCTTGGTGATTACAAGTGTGTTACTATCCTAAGGTGTTCTGAGTGGCTTATACAGTACCATGCTACTATGGTTAGGTGTTCTGAATGTTTATTATCATATTGTTATGTGGTTGTTCAGGGTGGTTGCTAGGACATTGCTGGTCAAAAAAAAAGGTAACACTTTATTTTAAGGACCAGTTCTCGCTATTAACTTGAAGCATGCATATTACTAGCATATTGGTTGTGTATTAGTACTTATAAAGCACATATTAATGCCTTATTCTGCATAACCATATTTAAGATCCTTTACCCCACACCTAAACTTAACAATTACCTTATTAACTATTAATAAGCAGCAAATTAGGAGTTTGTTTAGTGAAAACTCTTAGTTAATAGTGAGTATGTCTTCTCTGTTCTAAAGTGTTACCAAATATATATCAAATTTATGTTTGTGGCAAGTAAAAACTATGAATTATCATATAATTTACAGTGCAAAACTGTAAAAGATCCCTCACATGTTTATATTCATTATATTTTATTTCAGCACTTTCTTATTTTTGTCATCAGTTATGTGCTATGCATTAGGTTGTTTTATGTTAC